TTAGTTTAAACAAAAACTATTAATTTATTATTAAATTGCTTATACAGATCCGAATTTAACAATTCTTTAAAAAAATGTTTTTTTAAAAAATTTAATCGTTATATTAGTGCTTGTTTATACAAACACGAATTTATCTTTAGCAAAGCCTTTTCAATAACTATTTAATTAAATTCATTAGTTAAATAATTATTAAAAAACTTTTATTTGCTTATTGTTAAAAATTAGATTAAATATACTATGTAGTTATCAAGCATATATAATTCTATTGGCTGATTTTGTCGATCAACAGGAAAATCCCAGAAATTTCCAAAAAAGGAAATTTGAAAAACGGTTCGGTAATATTGGTCCCTTTTTAGTAACATTATTAAGTTTTCTATAGTCTACACAGAACCGTAATTTCTCATTCTTTTTCTTGACAAAAACTATAGGTGAAGTCTAGGGCTTTTGGAATGCTTAATCAACTTATTTTCTAACATCCTTTTGATTTCTTTTTCGATAAATGCTTGTTCATCTGGAGAAGCAGAGTAAGGCCTAGATTTTATTGGAAGCACATCTTCAGTATAAATTCGATGCTTTACAACATCAGTTCTTTCTAGTTCATTGATATCCTTGACAAATAAATCTGCAAATTCATTTAATAATTTTTTAAATTGTTTGCCTTGTTCAGTCATAAGTTAATCTGTTTCAACATAATCTTTTGAAGTTAATAGATACTCCTCTTCTAGTTTTAATTGTCTAATAGTATAGACTTCCTGAAAATTTAATTCTTTCTTCTGAAATTTTGTTTCTTCTGTAGATGCAGGTTGGGCAAAGCATTGCATCCAAAATTGGTTTTGTTGTCTATTCCTTTTTTCTTGCCATTGAGTTAATCTTATATGATCCTGATACAAAGAGAAGAGTAACTGGCTTAACTGTTTATTTTCCTTTTGAAGTTGTAAAATTTGTTGTGCTTGCTGATTTATAATATCTTGTGGCTTAGGCTCTTGTTCTGGTTCTTTTTCTTTTTGTGAACTAGTAGATGGCTTTATTTGTTTCTGATAGTATTCATTACAAAAACCTTGATTGGGCTCTAGTTCAGAAATATGTTTAGCAAACAAACAATCTAAACACAAAGCCACTTTGTCTTCAAAATTAGTACGCAAGTTGGCAATAGCTTGTTGATGATCAAAATCAGCATTCGATAGATCAAAAGACTCAGCCAGAATTTGGTTTAATTGTTGTTCTTCATCAGTAGTTAATTGTGTTTCACCAACACGGAAGAGCAAAGTTAATTCCTCATTTGTAAACTCTTTATTAAATCTATCTGTTTCCTGTTCTACTTCTGCTTGAACAATACTTTGAGATGTTATACCAAGCAAAGTTTGGGCTAACTGGTATATACTATCTTGGTTCATATCATAATAACTTCTAGCACTTTTGTTAGACTCAGTATAATGCTTAATTCTGGTCCACAAATCATAGTTCAGGTTATACTTGATATCTTTACTAGCTTTGTATGTATACATATGTTCAAAGCTACAAAACCAAGTTCTATTTAGCAAATTATGCATATTGTGTTTAGAATTTTCTTTTTCACATATGATGCATTTAACTAAAGTTCCTCTTCCTAATCCTTGTTCATAATAATAATGGCTTCTGGGTCTCCTCGATTCAAATTTTCATGATAGTCCTTATAGCATGCTTTGCAAACTAGAGTCCCTTCTAGTAGCATTAATTCATTACCAAATTGAGAATACTTGTATTGATAGCAGTGATGTTTCCTCTTTTGACTATGATAATATGCTTTTTGGTTAGCAACTTCCTCTTTATTACAACCACATTGATATTTCTTATTTTCTTGTTCAAGTTTACTTCTAGAACAATTAGTACCAATATGCTCTTTGTTATCACACTTTCTATATTCATTTTCTGGACAATCCTTAAATTGATGACTTGATTGACCATGATTAACACAGGTCGTACGTTTAGGCTTTTGGTAAAGACATTTAACAGCAATATGTCCATACTCATCACATCACTAACATTTGTTATATTGGCAATCTTCAAAGTAGTGATCAGTTTGTCTACATGTTCCATATCCCTGGTTTTTCTTGTAAGAGATTTTTGGTTTTCGTTGATATATAGTCTATCCTGAATCTTCAATATTATTAGATTCTGCTTCCAAGATATAGGCTTCATGAGAGATTAATTCTTTATCCTTATATTCTTCTTTCCAGTCATCATCCACTTTACTGACTATAGGTTGTCTTTCTATAGCCTAGTTATGCTCATAGGTGATAGGTACAATAATACAGTGACTGTCCTAATGCATGATATATTCTTTAGTTTTCTAATTATATTAGGCTTCTACTTTGTGAGACCAATCATTTTCCAAAATAAGAGAGTAAGTAGTTGCTGATACAACTTCCATGAAGATAGGAATAGTAATTCCTGCAATTTCTATAGAAACATCCTTAATAACACCTAGAGATCTAACTTGTTTTCTAAATGCAGATAAAATTAAACTATTAGAAGGGGTATCTATTTCCAATCCAATTTCTTTGGCAGCTTGTTGGATAATCATACTAATAGCAGCTTCACTATCAATAATAGCAGTAAATAGTTTATTATAAATAGTTGTTTGATATTTCACAGGAATAGTTCGTGGTCTATTAGAGTGCACCAGATTTACAATATTGGAGTCACCTTGCAAATAATTTGCTAAAGCTCTTCTGATACTAGTATTATTTAAAAGAGTATCCTAATAATTGGTAGAGGTGGTTTCTTTATTATCTGCCAAGTTGATATACTGACAAATAGAAGATCTATAATGGACTTCCTGGTCTCTAGACTGACTTCTAGACCTGTTTTTATTATAGTGATTATAATCTCTAGATCTGCTTCTGTCATAATAATTATAATCTCGAGTATTTCTTTTGTACCTTTCTTGACTCCTAGATGGATTTCTTCTATAATTTCAAGGTCCTGATCTGAATCTTCGTCTGGAATCTCTATTTTGATAAAAGTTGTTTCTTCCTCTATCAAGTTGACATTGTGCAACAATATGTCCAATATTGTTACATCGAAAGCAATGAATATTTGGGTTGATTTTTCTATTTCTGTCTTGATTTCAATTATTTGGGTTATAACCACTTTCAACAGTGTAAGCTTCTTTCTTGTTATTATGTTAGACCAAATTAAGACTTATTTTTTTAAGACTATCAGTTAGATCTTGAATCATGTTTTCTACTTTACTAGTAGACCCAGAAGCTAACATTTTTCTAGTTTCCCATTTTCTGGCCATTTCGATTGCAGCATTCATATCTGCTAGGTTAGATGCTTGTACATAGACAGCTAAATCAGGTTGCAGGCCTTGAATAAAAAGTTGTTTAATAAAATTTTCTGGGAATCCTTTATTAGAATCAATTTAATTTTAAAGCTTTTTAAAACAATTAATATAGGCATCGACCGAATCTGCTTCTTGCTGAATATCAAAGAGTTGTTTTTGCTAGACAGCTTGTTGAGTAGGAGTAGAAAAGCGAGTTTTAAACATATAGTAAAAACTACGGGCTTGGGCATTGTCAGTTCTAAAAGAAGTAGCAGTTTGGGTGTCATTTAAAGACTGATACTATTCTTGAGCAATCCCTTTTAGATATGCAGGAGCAAGCTCCAATTATCTGTTCTCATTCTATCTATTAGCAATAGCAGTATATTTAAATTCTTCTATCCATTTAACAGGATCTTGGGACCTATCTCCTTCGAAGTACTTCAAGGTTACCAAAGTTTTTTTACCACCTCGTCCCAGTGCAGTAGCTAAAGCTTGCATAGCAGTAGCAGTGTCTCGTAAAACAGCTTTAGCCATTGGTTCAGGATTTATAGATACAGTAGAGTTTGCTTCAATATCAATCTGATCAAGAATTTGATCTGTTTTAAAACTAAATAATTCACAGGATATACTAAAATTAGGATTTAAAACTACAGACTCTGGTAGAGAAGTACTAATAGATAATTGATATGATATAGATCCTTTACTAAAAAAACTATCTTCTAAATAAGTAATATTAGTAGGGTCAGAGTATTGGGTTAATTGGAGACTACTATTAGAAATATATAAAGTTTTAAGTAGTTCTAACTCTTCAGGTAGATTAATTAAATCCTCTACTTGGTAGTCAGTATCAATATATAAGTCATAGAGGTTAATAAAATATATTCCTAAAGGTGAATAATGTGTAAAGGTAGTATATCTTTGTAATAAATAAATTATTAAAAATTTGGAATCAGGAATTTCACTATAATAGCAACAGCTAAATATTATATCTTGAGCGGCTCTACGAGCAATAGTATATTTGATAGTATGCTTTAAAGTATGTAGTTGATTACGAGTAGATAAGCTACAGAATTGTAATAGGGTGACAGTATGATATCACTCAATAAACTGACCAAACTGTCTGTTCGAACTATATCGTCCAAGGAGAAAACATGATTCAAGATCTAACTGATAGTCTTAAAAAAATAAG